ATGGATGGATGGATGGATGGATGGATGGATGGATGGATGGATGGATGGATGGATGGATGGATGGATGGATGGATGGATGGATGGATGGATGGATGGATGGATGGATGGATGGATGGATGGATGGATGGATGGATGGATGGATGGATGGATGGATGGATGGATGGATGGATGGATGGATGGATGGATGGATGGATGGATGGATGGATGGATGGATGTCAGTATTAGAAGTAGTAGTAGTAGTAGTAGTAGTAGTAGCAGTAGCAGTAGCAGTAGTAGCAGTAGCAATGGCAGCAATAAAAAAATAAAAAAAATAATAATAATAACTTATAAACTAATAATAAAATCAGCAATGACATAAATGAACAGCAGCAACAACAACAACGACAAAATCTTTATTGTTTGAGCGAGCACAAGCAGCATTCGTACAATAGATCACGGGAATGTTCTAGTACCAAAAAATTTTATTCCACGCTCCTGATAATGACGTCATCCTGATCACTCGATGAACTCGCGCAGCAGTCAATAAGGCAATTGTCAATAAATCCAATGGAGAACACAATGAAACAATAGACGACAAGGAGTTGATGGCTAATTGCGGTTTTTATAGCTATTTTTTTACATTCGGTTTCGTATCTTTTTGTTGGAGTTGGTGAGGCAAAATAGATTTTTATGTATCAGTTACTCTACAGAAACAAAACTCATTAGTAGGTTTACAGTTTGATAATGACAAAATAAAATTCATTCAATTGATAATTAATAATTTATTTATTAACACAACATTCGCTCTTCACAGCTTTGAATTAACCTATTCAAACAATTACGAACCAGCAAACATGTTGTTACGGCTTTTCAAAATTTAATTCCTTATAAATTTTCAGCAGATGAGCATTATTTATAGTAATTTTCCTGAGATGAATCAATTATCCACGAACGTATCATTTCAAAGTTGTTGCTTTATCACGTGCATTGTGCGCGTGCATGCTGGTTTGTTGAGTGTGGAAGCCTGCAGCGGCCGCCGTCCAGCCATGCAAAAACCTATCCGCATGTATGTAGGGGTAGACTCTGTTGGTACCTACGTGCACTGCTTGGAAAGCTGAATAATGGCATTCAACAATGCTAATGCACTAATTAGATTGGCGAGCTGTAACGCATTTTTTTTATCAAGAGGAGATACTGAAATAAAACATGATCAACTTTCACGGCACTTTGTGTGATTTTTTAAGAGGAGTTTAAAGAGTTAAAAAATGTTGAAGAACTTAGGGTTGACATCCCCTCAATAATTATTTTTCCTTTTGCTAACTGCATTTTCTAATCTAAAATTGACGTTAACTAACAAAACAATTTTAGTAGATCACATTAGAGTTATTTCGAAAGCAGATGGAAAATTTTTTTTAAATGCAAATGTTCATCCAAGCGTTTCACTGTCAATTAGCCGCTTGTGAGATTTACAGACTTTATTTCTTTTTATTTGGAATTGTCATACCTGTATATGTCTAAAGTGTATTTATCGATTTTAAAAAAGAATTAATCTTTTTGATATATTTTTTCAAAAATAAATATAAAATCTCAACATTGAATCTCGAAACTTTGAAAGAAAAAAAGCAATTTTACATTTGAATTTCCACTTCTATTGAAGGAAACCGTATCATTTAATCAGCTAAAACTTTTCGTCTTGAAACTAAGAACAACTTTTTCAAAAAATACATTTTTAATTAACCTATCCAGTTATCTGTATACTATCGAGGCGATAAACAATAGCAAAGTAACAATAGTCCATCCTTCATCAGCTCTCCCAGCTTCGTGCTAATCTCATCTACTCAAAAAGAGTTCAATCATTCTTTGCACTGAAAACAATTCGTGCATGTACACACAAACAGTGCTCTTAGATAGCATAACTATTCTTAAACACGATACAGTTTTCTTTCTTCCTTGGCTCAAATGAGCGAGACATTTTATGAAAATTTGATAAGATGTGATGTTTATAAACGGCCAATCTCTTGCCGCTTTTGTTATATTATAAAAGATTCGCGCTAGATCAAGATGAAATTTTCCATTTTTTCCATTAGGTGGAAGCGTTTTCTGTAAAATGGAAGCAATTCATCATGCTGTTCGTCATGTTTGAATTTCTAAACGAACACTTGAATATTAAAAAGAGAAACTTGTTATTAGTAAACATTGTTTTCGTTTTAACAAGTTTGCATGCAAAATATAGATTCTAAAATTTTTTATTTCTTTATTACCTCCGAATAGAATGATTTCAAAAATATAAATTGATTTTTTTTAGATGTTATCATCATTTGGAGTACCAACATTCAAACAGTTTCTTTAAATTTTTAACTTTAAATTTTCCAACCAATCGTACAGTTTCGTAGTTTCTGTGTTTTCACATTAATCGGAGATGCATCTCCTCCATTCAAAAAACATGGTCCTAAAAGTATATTGATATTCTAATAAACAGAAGTGCCTTTTTATAAATTATTAGCATAAATGCTTTTGACTAAATGAATTTAAAACACTGTTAAAATTTGATAAGCATTCGATAAAATTGAGATTGAAATTGAATTTTAAAAATGGGTAATTTATTTCAAGCTAACTTTAATCGTTGAAAATTGACAATGTATTTTTAGTAATGCATTTGTTAGAGCACTCGTTCACCGAGTTAGCTCAGTTAGTAAAAGCGCCATGCCTCGTGTTGCTATTATGCGGTGACCTGGTACAAATACCATCTGCCCACCATCTGCCCAAACTCAAAGACCATTATACGCGTATGATGCGGTACTTGCGTGTGCTTCATAACGTTCACGGGCGTCGTGTGGTGTGGATGGTGTAGCCGCCATCGTGGCATGAAAATTTAATCATAAGTTATAGAATGACACGTAAGCAGTTGCTGTAGCATTAGCTTTAGTAGTAGTAGTAGTAGTAGTATTAGTAATAGTAGTAGTAGTTGTTGTTGTTTTATTTTCATTAGTAGTAGTTTAGTAGTAGTAGTAATAGTAGTAGCAGCAGCAGTAGTAGTAATAGTAATTATAATAATAATGGTAGTAGTAATAGCGATGGTGGTAGTAGTTGTGAAAGTAGTAATATTAATAGTTCATCTTGTCGTCGTTCTTGAATTGTTGTTTATTTATTTACTGTTGTCGTTGTTCATGTTCGTTCTTATTATCGTTTTATTATTGTTATTAATGTTATTATTATTACCATTATTATTGTTGTTGTTGTTGGCTTTATTGTTGTTGTTGTTGTTGTGATATCGGCAGCATAAGTTTCATTTTACGATTGTTTAGTATTCACTTGAAAGCCTTTTACACTGGCAAGCACTGAATCAATACAAAATCCAGTCAAATATGATGATGGCAATGCGATGATGACGACGATGATGATGGTGGTGATGGTGATGATGATGATACATGATGATATAGATGATGATACATGATGATGATGATGATGATGATGTTACAGGTGGTGATGATGATGATGATAATGGCGAGATGCTGACGATGTCAACACGATTACAATAAAAATAAGAATGATAATAATAAGAAGAAGAATGATGATGATAATAGCATTGATGATAATCACGATGATGGTATAACTGAGATCATTTCAATTGATAACTGTTTTGTTCTAATGATAACACAGGTAAATGGAAATTCTGCCTTGTTTATATTTGCCGGCGAAATAAGAATAGCTGAGTTTTAGTTGATTAATGACAAATAATAAATTAAGAATACAATAAGAATTGTTGAAAAACAAAAAAAAAACAAATTGAGTAACAGAAAAAAAGAAACATTGAGCAAGAGATAAAACAAAAATAAAACAATAAAGAGAGAAAGAAAGAAAGGGAGAGAGAGAAAGAGAGAGAAAAAGAGCGAGAGATGGAGATAAAAGTAAGCGCAGTTGATATAGAGCTGACGAATTTTTCTTCCAGATAAGACCGACTGGTTATTAATTATTCGTTTGCCAATTTATATTTTAATCATTATCGCTTAGTCTGCCGAAGTCTGTAGTCTTCCTTCATCCTTCTCCCCCTCAACATCATTATCATCATCATCATCATCATCATCTTCTTCTTCTTTTTCTTCTTCGTCATCATCATCATCATAATCACCACCACCACCAACATCATCATCACCTCACTCATTTGGATGGCAGCCAAGGTAGAAATATTATATTAAAAAACTTCCCGGAGAACACGATTAATGAAAAAAAATCAAAATAACTGGATTGGTGATGTGAGATAGCAGAATAACAATAACAATAAAACTCTGTGTGTATGTGTGTGTGTGTGTGTGTGTGTGTGTGTGTGTGTGTGTGTGTGTGTGTGTGTGTGTGTGTGTGTGTGTGTGTGTGTGTGTGTGTGGTTATTAAATTTGAAATTCGAAAATAAAAAAATAATAAGATGAAAATACCACCGTGGTTACTTCTACTACTGCTGCCACAACAACAACAATAATAATAACAATAATGATAATAATATTAATAATAATAGCAATAACAATAATAATAATAATACAAAGAAATTATAGATGGACTAACGATAGGATCTTTTTCCCTTGGCTCACATTTTTTTGTTTAAGATAAATAACAGCGACAATAAAATTTATATGGGTAATAATATAATTTTAGATGAAAATAATTATAACAATCTATTATAATAATATGATAATAATAATATATTAATAACAAAAACAAATAATCATGACTACAACTATAGAGAAAAGTTTTGATCATCTTAATGTTATTAATTTCAAAAGTATGCAGTTCCCTATTGTAAGTGGTCTTGATAATACTACTTCTACTATTACTACGACTACTACTTCTACTATTACTACGACTTCTACTACTGCAGCTGATGCAGTTGCTACAACTACTACTAAGGCTACTACTACTACGGCTACTACTACAATCAACACAATTTAAACTTAACGTTGCAATGTTGATGATGGTTAAAAATCAAAACCTGATAAGGTTTTACTGTGAAGACATTTAGAACTTTTGTAATGAAATTTGTAATGATTCAGCTGGAGCTAGAAAATGACAACAAAGTCGTGAAAATCAAACATGGTATGTGGAAGAAAAATATCGAAAATAATTTAATGTACTTGAGACATACTCGCAAATGACAGATCAATAAAGACCATATCAATGAAGACATTTAACTAACTGAATAAAAAGGACAAAATCCAAAAACATTTCTAAAGATCCAAAATGTAAATAAACTTCACAACCACATCAACTTTAACAATCGGTCTTGAGGAGATGTTAAAAATTTTTCAACGTGGATAATAGTGGATAAGCGATAATTTTTGGCGTTAGTGAGCTGAGAATTAAGCTGAGTTGAGTGAAGTAAGAGATAAAGTATAATAATGATAATTAGAAATTTCACTATAGTGATGTGGATTTAGATGATGAAAATGATCATGTTGGGAACTACATCAGCAATGATAATACGGTGAAGGTAGAGAAGAAGGCAATATTCTTCATCTCGTTCAACTGCATCATAGCATTATCAATTATACGTAATATTGCTTTGAACAACGTAGGAGAAACAAAACCGGTTACGTAAAGTTGTGCGTGTTCTCTCTCTAAGTGTGTTTGTTTGTAGGTGTGTGGTGTGTGTGTGTAGTAAAATACGTTTGTTTGTATGTATGTGTGTGTGTAGTGAAATGTGTCTGTGTCTGAGTGTGCGTGTGTTTGTCTGTGTGTGTATGTGTTTGTATTGAAATCTGTTTGTTTGCGTGTGTGTGTGTGTCTTTATTGAGTTTAATAAATTTGTCAATTATTATCTCTTGCTTAGCTGTTGAACATTTAACTCATTTCGGAAAATAAAATACAACAAAAAAGCATACACGTGTGTATGCTTTGGAAAATAAAATAATTATAAATGAATGAGAGTATATGGATGAATTTTGAATTGACAAATAGATGAATGAGCAGATGGATAGACGGATGGATGTACAGATGGGTGAATGGATGAATGAATGGATGGAGAGATTGATGGAGGAATTGATGAGAAAGCAGAAAGACAAATTCGAGCACGGATGAATTGTTAAATGAACGTATGACCCGGCATTAGTTTGCTGGAAGATTTTCTTTGTGGCTTTTTGTCTTTGAATAATAAATGAAAATTGTAAAAAAAAGATTTTACTGGCGCCTTGCGTGAAACACGAAAACAACATAAACAACAACATAAACAACAACACTAAAAATAACATACACATTTTGTACAACAACTACATAGACAACATAAACAACAACATAGAAAACGCAAACAACAAAAACATAGACGACTAACCCTGACAACACCATTAAACAACTTGGCCAACGTAAGCAACGCCGACAACAACAACAACAGCTTAAACAATCAACCACACTAATAAACAGCAACAATAACATGAACTACATCAGTGTAAACAACAACAAAATTATGTATCACATAGAAGATATCTTGTAGAAATTGGTAAATAAAATCATTAAAATGAAACAAAACTAATGATTATAAAATCAACAATAAAAAAATGAGAAATTTGTAAATGTTGCGGTAATTTGAATGGGAATGAACCTTGAGTGTCAGGATAAACGTCGTTAGTTGCCATTTAATTGCGTGTCTTCCTTGTTGTTTGTTCTATTGTTTGTATTAATTTCCATGTCTCATAGTATGTTTTGTTGTATGTCTTGTTGTTTGTATGTTTCATTGTATGTTTTTTGTATGTCTTGTTGTTTGTATGTTTCATCGAATGTTTTTTGTATGTCTTGTTGTTTGTACGTTTCATCGAATGTTTTTTGTATGTCTTGTTGTTTGTATGTTTCATTGTATGTTTTTTGTATGTCTTGTTGTTTGTATGTTTCATCGAATGTTTTTTGTATGTCTTGTTGTTTGTATGTTTCATCGAATGTTTTTTGTATGTCTTGTTGTTTGTATGTTTCATCGAATGTTTTTTGTATGTCTTGTTCTTTGTATGTCTCATTGTATGTTTTTTGTATGTCTTGTTGTTTGCTTCTTTCTTTGTATGGTTTGTTGTTTGTCTCGTTATATGTTTCGTTGTAGACTTGCATGTCACATCATTTTTTTAATTTTTCTGTTTGATTCACTTTGAGGAGAAAAATTTATTGGCACATGCCTATTGTTATTGGCGTATTTGTAAGCCTAGTACGAGCTCACTCCCATAAGTTACTTTTCAACACGAGTGAGTTTCTCTTTATTGAACTAAAAATTCAATCAACTAAACTTCACTGGGAAGATTATTTCAATATTCGTTGAAAATATTTATTTGACTGTCAATTTTTTTTAAATTTATTGAGATATATATATTGGAGATTTTAATTTTAAAAGCTTTTTGCGTGATTGTGATTAACGAATAAAATCGTTATCAATGTGTAAACTACTTTTCAACAAAACATTCATTCATTTAACCAAGTAACTGATCAATCAGCTCAATCAGCCAAATTATTATCCAACCAACTGACCAACCAACCAACTGATTTAACAACAAATCAATCGACCAACAAATCATACTCATTCAGTCACTTAGCCTACGACCAGATAATATTCATCAAATCAAAAAGTCTCTAATCAACTAAAGATAAAATCAGCCAACCATCCAGCAGACCAAACAATCAGCTAACAAACCAACCATTCAAACACTCACCCATCTAATCAATCAACCAACAATTTAATTAATAAATCATTTAATAAGCCAACCATCCAATCAACAACTCAATCATTTAATCAGTCAACCAATCATTCAATGACTCAATCATTTAATAAGCCAACCATTCAATCACACAACCATTCAGTCAACCAACCAACCGACCAATCAGCCCAATCAATCACCACATACACACAACCCATTTTTTGTTAGATGATTGTACAGCACATAGAATGCCAGCAACGTAAGTTCGGGGTCAGGCGATCAAAATAAACATCTCCACTGCTAATACTCTCTGGACTTGTTTACACCGATTTGTAATAATAATAAATATAGTAATAATAGTGATAAAAATAATGAAAATTATGAAAATAATAATAATAATAACGCCCGTATCAAAAAAAGATGATGATTGAAATGGTTGAAATGGTTAAAACTGATACAATAATGAAGTCGTTATTATAAATTATAATTCTAAATATGATCCTAAATGCATAATGGACGATGAGACGGTAACGAAAATGACGAAAAAGTTGATGACGAAGACGATGATGAAGATGGTGGTAATAATGAAGCGAATGAAGATGACGACGATGATGACTTTTGATAGTTTTTTAACACCTGTTCATCAATGGAAAGTGTAAGGACATCATACCTGGACGAATTCTTTGCAGAATAATTTGCTTGATGGCACGGAGAATGTGCGTGAAAGATTAAAAGAGGATGGGTGATGTGGAGTAACAAGTTATTCCAGTGCTCTTGTGTTTTTTTTTGTTATTTTTGCTTTCAAACTGTTTTGAAAAATAATCTTCAATATTGTTATTGTTAATTTTATTGACTGTTGTTTGTTTATTCACCTTGAATATTATTTTCGGAAAATCATTTTTACTAAGCTTATTTTGTACATTATGTTTGAAACTTAGGTGCAGAATACTGTCAGTGGGAAACCTTCCAAGCCAGCTGTCCCCAGCCGGATTACGTCATCCTTATGACGTCAGCTCGCTACGGCAGAATGAATTTTAGTAGGTGCGTCAGGGAGAACCACGGCAAAGTGGGTTGCTACGCGGATGTGGTGGCCATTTTGCATGACAGGTGTTCGGGAAGGAAGAGCTGTCGAAGTTCCGTTCCCAACGGTGAGTTGCATCGCAGTCTCAAGGATTGTCCGAAAGAACTGATGCCGTATTTAGAAGCGGAGTTTGTTTGCGTTAGAGGTTTGTTGTATGGTTGGCTGGTTGATTGGTTGGCCGGCTGGTTGGTTGATTGGTCGGTTGGTTGGCTAGTTGGTTGGTTGGTTGGATGGTTGACTGGTTAATTGGTCAGTTGACCAGCTCAACGCAATGCATTCATAAACTTTGTAACACGTTTCACTTGAAATTAAAGTTAAAAAAATTGATTAACGTTTATGTGCCATAAATTTTTATCTTCCATTAAATAGATAGCCAGATTAATTAAACATCCAATTTCTAGCGTCTTTCTGGCCAAACAACGACAAACTCGTCAAATCAAACAACATCAGCAACGACAATTTGTGTGCATCTCCGTCTTCATCGTCATCTTCATCAACGTTTTCATCCTCCTCATCATCATCCTGGACGTCGTCGTTGTCTGAAACAACAACATCCGCGTCAAGCAATCCGCCTTACACTATAACAGACAACAACAAAAACAACAACAACAATAATAACAATATAAACAACATCAACAACAAACATAATCAGCATTTAATTTTTTCCAAGCGAAAAGATGACAAAACGAGCAGGAGCGTCGATAGCAAACAACTGAACGTTGACGGCGGCTTAGTAATCCCATTTCCATCTCCCTCTCAACCAACATCATTGTCATCATCCTTTCCATTGTCATCCTCTTCTTCACAGCTCTTTGATGCCAGCAGGAACGAGATGAACTTCTGCAGTTGGAAGATTGAGGTTGTACCTCCGTCATATTTTCATTAGCAATTCCGCGTTGATTTCACGTTATCGATCCATTTAAGTAATTTTTTATTAGCTAAAAAAAATAAATATATAAATTGAAAATTAATCAGAAGTTTAATGAAATTAATTTTAATAATAATTTTATTATTTTTTATTTGCTAAAAAATAAATATATAAATTGAAAATTAGCCAGCAGTTTAATGAAATTAATTTTGTGACTTTGTTAGTTAAATTTACTTAACGTCAAACATGAAAGTTTCAAAAATAATAACTAATAAAACATTTATTCGATCAATCGATCAATCAATTAATTAACCGGACAATCAATTAAATCAGCCGGGCAATCAATTAAATCAACCGGGCAATCGATTAGATGAATAATCGATTGAACAGGCGGACAGTTAACCTATCCAACTATCGTACCATCAATCAAACTAAATCATCCTTGCGCCTAAAACAAAACCTCGGGCGTTCATCTGAATCATAATTCATTTTGAATGATTCGTAAGAATGTGTTGTGTTATGTTAATATTTTATTTTCAAGTTTATATCTTGGAGTGAAGCAATTTAACTTTGTCTGTCTGTACATCATTGAGTAAATAACTGAGATATAATTTAGTAAAACGCTAATACTACCAATAGATAGCAATACACATATACGCGAACAAATGAATGATGAGAGGTAGAAACTGTATATCAAAATATCAAAGAAGATATACTGCGGATTTTAAAACAATAAATATTCATTGCTTTGTTTATAGATGATAACAAATGTCTATAGAAATATTATGATTGCATCGATTTAGAATGGTATATATTGAGAGAAAATGTTATTTAGGTATATATATATATATAGCTAGATAATGATATATTCAATATGGGGAAAATATAGATAGATATACAGATATACAGTAATAATAGTAATTCCGATAAATATTAATGGATATATAGAAAGATAGATAAAGATAGATGTATAGTAAGATAAGGTTAAATATATAGATAGATAACTTAGATACACAGCTAGATTATAATAAATTTAAAATGGTATGGTATAAATAAAGAGAGACAACGATAAGTGTAATGATAAGGAAAGATTTATAGATAGATACCGATAGATATTGTATAGTTAGATAATGATAGATCAAGAATGGTAAAAATAAAGATAGATAAAGATAGATACATGGAAAGATAACGATAGATATGCAGAGGGATAATGATTGATATATAGATAGACAGGACCTCATTAGCATCAGTTAGCACTCCATTGCAGATGTAAATAGTATGATCATCGCACGGTCAGCTGGTTGGTCATTGAATTTCAAATGAAATTAACTTGAGGGATGTGTTAGGAAAGTGCATGGATAAATGTTGAACACGATGTTGACGACGATGACGATTATGGTGGTGATGATTTTGATAATCGTGGTGATGATGATGATGATGATGATGGTGATGATGATGTTGATGATGATGATGCTTATGATGGTGATGATGATGATGATAACAATGATGATGGTGATGATGATGATGATGATGCTTATGATGGTGATGATGATGATGGTGATGATGATGATAACAATGATGATGATGACGACGACGATGACGACGATGATAATGAAGATGACGACGATGATGAAAGTGATTAAAAATCGTTGGCAAATAATTTTGAAATAACTTTTTTTAATCGCATTGTTATCATTCCATATTTTTCTTTTTTTTCAAAAAGTTTTTTTCAAAAAATAAACAAAGTAAGACGGATAGAAAGCATCAATCAATGGGTGTGTTGCGTAGTGGCGGCTTGTCGCTAGTTCAATGTTATTAGTTTGTCTTTGTTGCTGTTTTTGTTGATGATGTTGTTGTTGGAACTGCTGCTGTTGATGTTGTTGTTCTTGGTGGTGGTAGTAGTGGTGTTGTTGTTCTTGGTACTGTTTCTGATGATTTTGCTGTTGCTGTTGTAGTTGTTTTGTTGTTACCCCATCAGCCAATTTCTATCCGGTTCAGGCCGGACCCGAGCCAATCAGCAAACCGCGTCGGCTTTCGCCCCCGGTCTATTGTAGTGGAGACCGTGCGACTTGCCAGGGTGGTTAAAAAGTGGGGGAACATCTTCACCATGCGAACGGAGGGAAGGCCAGTTGTTTCTGTTACCGTTGTGGATTTTTCCTTTGCAGCTGCCGAAGAAGATACAATGGCCAGATCGAAGTCTTGCCAGAGTTTTCTTGTTGCTCGAGGGAGGGTTTTCTTTGAGCTATCCATTGAAAGCATTGGTAGAGACCATTCATTGAAGAGAACGTGGCGTGGTACGATTTGGTGACGGACTTGGCAGCCATTTGATGTAGTGACTTTAAAGCTGTTTTTAGTGTAGCATGGCTTTCGAACATCGGCATGACGGATTTTATTGACAAAGTCCATTTCGACGTCAACATGGTTTTCATTTTTTAAAAGTGGGTGTTTTTGCGTCACGAGAACATGGCATGGATGGGAGGGTCGTAACATCTGGCAAGAAATTGAGAGGAGAGTAGGCCTGTATGTTGCCCTATTGAGAGCATTCGGTATTCGGGGAGTAGATACCCCCACACTCTTTCACCGAGTTGGGTTTTGTAGTTGTCTTTGTTGTTGTTGTTTTTGTTGTTGACGTTTTTGTTGACGTTTTTGTTGTCGTTTTTAATGTCGTTTTAGTTGTTGTTGATGTTTTTGATATTGTTTTTGTTTTGTTTGTGTTTGTTGGTATCATTACATGCCTTCAAATAATTATGTTTTGTAATGTTTCTGTAATGTTTTGTAATGTTTTTTTGTGACGTTTCGTAATAACTTGTAATCTTTTTGCAATGTTTTGTAATTTCGAAATTATAACAAATAAATAGATAATAGCAGAAAAAAAAGATTTCAAGAAGGAAAACAAAAATAAACGACTGAATTGAATCGGCAAGGATAGATAGACGGATTAGTGGTTGAAGAAAAAAATGGAAAAAAAAATCAATAAATAAAACGTCGTAGAGAAAAAAAAACAAATAAAAATCACAAATGAAAACTGCAACAAATGATCAGAGTGGAATGTTTACGCGAGTTAATACGTGGTTTATTGCCTTCGTGTGTCTGCAGATTCATGGCATGCCTACTGTCACAAATTGTATAAAACAAAACTCATTAAAAAATGCATAAACTAATCGAGAAAATGTAAAAACAAAAAATGAACAAAACACACCAGCAGCAACGACATGTCAACAGCAACAGTACCAACAATAACAACAACAATAACAGCAACAGTACCAACAACAACAACAAATATCTGAAATTTTATTTTTAGCAGAGTTGAAACTGCTTTGCATTCGAAGATTGTGTCTGAGAAGCACTCGCTAATTCTAAGCTTGTTGGTTCGGGTAGATTTTTGTAGAGTGAAAGTGAGTTATAATATTTCATATTCTTGGCCATTTGGACGTGTTTATGAATATTCATAACGCGTTTGTTGCCATGAAAAATTTCACAGAGTAAAAATAAATTATTTGATCGGTGAATTATTTAGCTGAAGAAACGTCGAAAGCATGCCACCAGAACATATGACAAGTAAATTCGCCAAAAAACAAGCCCCATTGACTTTTCATCTCAGGTCGGATGATTTGAATTTGCAGTCTGTGCCAGTTGCAGGTTTGCAAATTGGTTCAAGAGACATTGCAGTTGATGGACCCTCTGTTTGGAATGGTCTTCCACCGGCGATGAGGAGATCTGGACTTTGTTTTTCACATTTAGTCACGTACATTTCTTTGAGCGCTCGTGAAACTGTTTTAATTAGCGCTAACAAATTGCTCTTAATTAATAATAATAACATATATCATTTTTATAATTTTGCTATTAATTTATAATAATTGTTCTTTTTATATATTATTATTACTATTATCAATCATGTTTTTTTTCATGATATATATTTGTTGGTCTGTTTAGCCTCAATATATTATTACATTCTGCAGAGATTATAAATCAGCTAGAGAGAAAAGATTGTTTCTAATATTTACAGGTTGCCGCTGGCCAGCATATCAACCTCGGAGGGTTTGTGTTTGTTCGTCCGCGCAAGCAACACCACCACTTCTACCAACAACAACAATTCTATCCGAAACAGCACCAACAACAACAACTGCAAAATTATTATCAAACCAAACAACAACATGAACGACAAGATGAAAAATATAAAAACAACATCAACATCATCGCAAGGACTAACATCAGCAGTAGCAGCAACAACAACACTAAAAACTACATCAAGCTTCGTGATAATTATGACGATGATGACGACGATGATGATTTTAGCGCGGAGTTCATAAAGAACAATCACTGTTTGCTGAAATTATCACTTTCAGAACAAAAGCCAGGAACCCATGGTCATGAAACTAAAATGTTGTTTTGTCACAACAACATTATCGACATCATAGACCGCAATTACAACAACAACAACACTAACAATAATGATAAACGCATAATTAGTTTCAGCTCAAGCCCCAACAACATTAACGCTAACAACATGAAAGTCAAGAATTCCTACTTTTATCATTATTCATCTGAACATGTTGTTGTACTGAGCAAGAACTACAATCAACGAAACAGACAACGCCAACAACAACAACAACAGCCACAACAACAAAATTTATTCATCCCTCTCTTCAGATCACAAACAAACAAGCTCGTTGCTCGCATCAGCACATACAAACTCCATCATAGCCAGAACTCAAACACCATTAACTCATTAAAATCAACATCATCATCGTCGCTGAAGTCATCATCGTCGTCGTCATCACGCTCACCACCACCGAACGCCGATAAAAATAAAGATCAAGGTGATGAAAATGATGGCGAAGATGATGACGACGACGATGAAAGTGGTGACGATGGCGATGAAAACAGAATATTGCTGTTATACGAAGGTTGGTGGAGTTATTCATCCATCCATCCATCCATCCATCCATCCATCTATCCATCCATATATCCATCCATCCATATATCCATCCATCCATATATCCATCCATCCATATATC